TATTTTACACATGTTGTTCACCTCGATCTCTTGCCCTTTCCATGACCTCTTGCCGCATTAGTATTGAATAAGGCTATTTTCCTTGACTGAATTGCATTTTTAGAATCAACCGCGGAAGAGCGCACCTCTCAGCCTCGCCAGTGCGAGCACGCTGCTTCAGCGGATCAGGCAGCTGCACTTGCAGATCTTCACGCCCGTCTCAATGCTGCAGAGCGCGAAACCCGTCGCTGCCAAAAGCGAGCCTCTCGCGAAATTCACGAACTGGAGCGTCTTGCTGAAGAGCAATGCATGCGAGCTGGAGGCTTGGCTGAACAACTTGCATGGTTGCGGAGGCAATATGTGCAGTTAAAAAGCCAGGTGCTTACTGCTTTTTCAGCAAAATTATTGTCATCTCATTGCATAATCAACATTATTTTATCAGTAAAAAGTGTATTCACCCTAGGCCGCTTAAGGTGATATTAGGTTTCTTCACAATGCAATTGAAGTTCGCATAGCTTTATGTCCAAAAGGATATTCTCACCCAGAATGGACAGGACTTTTAACCTCGCATGAGTCTCATCAGCAGCCCAACCATGACTTTAGCCCATGGGGTAGGGCGTATAATTTCGACGTTATCACTATACTACAATGACACGAGTGCCACTGTGACAGAATAGACGTGGTTTTTTAGGCAAGCTATACTTAATTCCTATCGCATGTGGCAAGTTGGTGTTTACCACTACAGTCGACTACATATTTATATTCACGTTAATTAGGTTTAGCTACTTTCTGAAGTTTTTAAATAAGAAATTGAAACTAAGAATACAGTTCTTCAAGATCTGCTCCTAATATCGAAGTTACACTTGCATCAGATATATGTTGTTCTGTAATTTTCATTCGTCTATTTTAAATTTTTGATTTGTTTTAGTGCCGAGATTATATTATTTCGATTATTCACGTAAATAAACAAGTTCTTACAATACATCTCAGATAATCGAAGATGTGAATGCCAAGATGGTGTGGCCCTCTGTATGGTCGCAGTTTGGTTTCGATTTATAGAAGTGGGTTGACCTCGTTGTCGCAACTTGTTCTTTTTGTCAGAGCTTGACTTCACTTGTCTCTGACGAATTCGTAGCTTAGTGTGGAGAATGGCAGCACTCATTGATAATACCGACTCTGATGCCGGAAATTATGATTACTACCATGGCAGAGGACTTCGGACAAGGCGGGCTCTACTAAGTCTCCCT